TTGATGTTTTGACACTTTGATATATATAGATCTTGTTTATTCTATGATTTATGTTGTTTAATGCTTCCAATTGATCATTTCATTCTATCCATATGTCTATGTATGCTAGAATAGATGTTCATGTGCTTGTCTCTAGATTTTGTGTTATTGATGCATGTCTATGTGTATTGATGCTATAAATTTGGAGATTGTCAAAACATAGTACTTAAAGGAATGCTCTTGTGATTCTCTTGGTGGTTCATGCTTATACCTTGATTGTGCCTCTCCCCTAATTTATTTTCATGCTAGTAGTGTAGATGTAGTGTAGTCGTAGTGTAGTGTTAAATGGGAGGACAATCTATGCTTGTTGTTTGATGATCCAAGCTTTTGAATGCAAGTAGCATATGTCTCTATCCTTGTGTTGTATTTGGATTGTGAGCTTAATGAAAGGATTAATGACTTGTTTTGATTTATTGTGTCTTTCATATGTTGTTTAGACAATATATGCTCCATTGCTTAGATATATTGTGCCATTCACATGATATTTAGACAATACATGCTTAACTAGTCATCCTTGCTTGTTGAATCAACCAAACACACACACACCAATATTGCAACACACCATTTGCCCTCATTAATCACTTGTCAATGATATAGAAATGCATCGCTTAGTGGTGATCTCTAAACCCCAAGATCTCTCTCTTTCTTACTTACTCTTAATTGCATTTCTTCTGCTATCATTTAGCTTCATCTAGTTGCTCTTTAATCAACCAACCAACCAATTGTTTGATCACTCGACCTACTAGCCCTAATTGTGATTCCACGACATTGCTCGATCCTCACAGTCTCTTGGGACGATCTCTACTTGCCCTAGCTATAATTTTAGTGAAAGGTAGTAGTGGCTTCTATAAATGTCAAACTCTTGGCCCTCGCCTAAATGCACACTCATCAAGCTTGATGGTGGTACGGCATGACACCAGCCAATAGACCATCAAAGAAAGGACCTAAGCCATGGACTATCAAAGTTCTCCAACAACATGCCATTAAAACCATTTCATAATCTCATTTCCATTGTCACTATAAAAATGCAAGCCATACAATCATGAGAAAATATGATCTAAGACAAGATAATAGATTCAACATAATCATTTATAAGAATTTAGGTTCATTACATCAAGTGTAAACTCTAGATTATGAAATAACCACATATACACATCATTTGCCCCAAAATAAACAAAACTAGAACATGCTTACTAGAGAGGGCTTCATCACCTCCCTAGATAGGGAGTTAGTTACCCATGGATGCAAGGGAGGAAGTAGAAGAAGTGGTCTCACCCTCCATTTTCGCACCTAGGAGCTCCAAGACACACAAACCCTCTAAACTCACAATATTTCTCTATCTAAAACTTGCAAAAATGTGAGATATCTTTTTCTTGCAACCATACATGCCTTATATCCATTAAGATAGCCTCCTAACTACCCTTAATTTTGTGGCCTCTCAACCCTAGAAGATTAGAGAACCACCCATTGGGTCAAAGGGGATAAGATGAGCTAAATCATGGAGTGGGTGAGCAACTCTCTACAGATTGGCGGGCGCCCGTGGCTTTGTCGAAGAATCTAGTCATTTAGGCGGGCGCCCGTGGTGCCTCGGCCTCACTAGATTTTTCTCTTGAACTTCTCTAGGCGCAGACTGTTGACGCAATTCTTCTTCCTAGAACTTTGTGCATAGAGCGTCATGAGTTCCATGGATCACTTGGCTTGGCCAACATGACGGTCCCCAGCAACGAAGTACTTTGATCTTCAAAAACTTATCAAAGCGTCACTTTTAACTTCCTTTAGGGAACCAACCTGAAAATAGACAAAAGTATGCAAATAAAGCTAATATATACAGCATAATCAACTAATGGACTTAATTAATGCAAATAAGGGTGCTTGAATATGCAATATTCGGCACTTATCAGAGAGTATGCAAAGCGGACAATATCTACATAAAGCGGGGCGAGTTGTTACAAATGGTATCAAAGTCATCCCTAATTCAAAAAAAAATGGGGAGGTGTGCACTATCCTATAAGGAACAAGAGCCCAACAAGGACGCTGGTCCCAAAAAGGGGGTGATTGTGACATTCCACATCGCCTGGGAAGATTATTTGTTGGCAGTTATATCTGTGGACTCCTTCTAACTGTGTAGATACATTTTGAGGAAAATCGTGAGCACAGGGAGAAGAGTGTGCAAAGCAGACAATATCTACAAGAGCTGAGGTAGGTTGTGGCATGGGCCCACTCTCTGTTCCAACTGAATTAAAATAATGTTTTAAATTATTCTAATGAATATAAAATTAAAAATAGGGGAAATATTTATAATATTTCAAAAAATTAGAATATTATATTTTAGAATAATGTACTTAATTATGTGAAAATACTTAACTTTATGTGAGATTTAGATGGCGTTGCTTTTATTAATAGAATTATTGGTTGAAGAGTTGATTTTATTTAATGTTATTATTGGTGTTTTATGTTTTATGTTGAAATACTTAATTTTAAGTCAGATTTGACGTTAATTTTATGGATTTGTTTTAGATTAATGGAGTTATTGGTTGAAGAGTTGATTTTATTTAATGTTATTGTGGATGTTCTATGTATGTTATGCCCTAAATTTAAACATGGGACTAGAGTTTTCTATTTTTAAATTTGAGGGTGTGATAGTTCGATATCATAGCCTAGGCTTAAGAGTTACCTGAAAAAATGATATTAAGGATAGAAGTAGGTGATATGAGGATAGAACTTAAGTGATAGCTAGGTCATTGGGTATGATACGTATTCATTATCTACTTTCCTGCCATACTCTTTAAGTAATATTAATAATAATATCATTTCTTCCTGAAAATAGGATCTATAGAGCTAGTAAAGGCAAATGACATGGTAGGTATGTCGGTCGCCGGTCGTGAGTTGGTTAGTTAGAGGAAACACTTGAAATGTCGAATCCTGATGCAGGACAAGATTTTAAGTCTACTCTTACTAAAGAGATGAGAGATTGTGGGTTGTTAATTGTAGGAAACTAGTTCCTCTTCGTGAGTAGATGATCATGGTATATTTATTTGTTCAAACCTATTTCCGGGTGAATGAGAAATTGTGTCCCAAAGTGAGATAATTGAAAAGCTTAAAATGAAACAAATGAGTAATTGGAAAGGTGTTACAAGGGAAACTTGTCCCTCATTGGATCTAGATGGAGAAGTGAACATGTATTTATGGGTTGCGTGTTTAGCCCTACCTAATAGTTTAACCTTTTAGGTCTGATCGCGAACCACCTGGCCCGTTACAATTGGTATCAGAGTTAGACCCATTTCTTGATCCAGTGTCACGCTAAATTCCCGGTTTGGAGGTGTCCGAGTATGCCACCCCGAGTAAGCAAGGCAGCCCGGCGGCAACGAGGGCGTTGCAAGTTCAGGTGGGGGAGAGTTATAAGGGAAACTTGTCTCACATCGGATCCGGATATATATGGGTTAGGTGTTAGGTGAAAAGGTATATATGGATTAGGTGTTAGCCCCACCTAATAGCTTAGACTTTTGGATTGAATCGTGAAGCACCTGGTATATATGGTGGGGAAGTGAAAAGGTATATATGGGTTAGGTATTAGCCCCACCTAATAACTTAGACTTTTGGATTGGATCGCGAAGCACCTGGCCGTTACAAAAAGCTTATCCCACATTGGAATCTAATGAAATTTTTTATGTCTATTTATATAGAAGTGTGGGAAAGGAAGCTCACAACCAAAATGTTGTGGTGGGATGGACTTAGTTTTGGTTGGGCTTGACCTAATTGAACAACACGCACCACCGCCTCTCGTTTGGTACTCTCTGTGGAGAGTGGGCATGGACTTTCAGTAAGATTTAACTTTTTACTGATGGAAACGTCCAACACCATGCGGGGTGTAAATTTGTCTCAAGGATATAGTATATTATTTAGTTACTTTAATTTGCATGCTCAATTAAATATTCTAAGTGAAATATTTAATTAATAGTTAGTTGGTTTGTTCATAGTCTCATAAGCATATTAGGGTGATTTCTATTTAATCTTAAATGCCATATGAAGCATATATTTTTCAATATTGAATTTACTAGTGCTATAGATCCATTTGATTATGAGAAGTGGGTTGAGATTATAGAGAAGTGCTTTGAGATTATTTTGCATTTGGTAGCATCAAATTTGTGCTTTAGGTTTGGGATTGGAAGAAATATCCCAAATCCAAACCACGGATTTGGTGCTTTCAAACATATAATTGAAAACACTTTGATAGTTGTGTTTAGTGTTCACTGTCATTTTTTATTACACTTGGATTGGAACCTAAACCGTGTGTTATACCTTATCTACCTTATCTATTGCAATTCCACTTAGAAACACTTGATAGCATGTGTCATGCTCGTCCTATTAGGATTGATAGTGTTAATTGTTATTGTTAATTTGTTGAAACGATGGAAGAAAATTCAACCCAAGGCCAAGTCTGTAGGATCACTCTCTCCACCCAATTTTTAGCAAGAGGCAATGGCAGCTTATCCCAAAGAGTAGGTTCTCCAAAGTGCTCAATTTCATAGATTTAGCAATCCTCCACTTCTTTTCCCAGTAAATTATTCAAGAGTCTGTTTCTTGCTAGCCAACATTACAAAAATAATCACTAAAAACTGCTCTCCTCTTTCAGAGTGTAAGGTCAAGAGTTCTAGTCTCTTGAAGAGAGGATTATGGGAATTATTGTGAGGAGAGAATATTTCATAAATAAAAGAGAACATTAATTAATCCCTTATAAGGTTGAGGCAAGAAATAAATACAGATTTAAAAACACTTCAATTACTTCATAAACCACCAATTACCAATTAACTACAAATACCAAAAACAGATCTTGTAATTACCATCAATTTTTATGTACTCGCCATATTTCTTTTATATTCAATCATCACAGGGCTGGGATGCTAGTTATGAATTTATCGCACTACACAGCTCGCAGATCACAGGTAGGTAGATGATATTCCTGATACTAAAAAAAAAATTTGCTTCCATGAAATATCATCCAAGTAATATACAATTTTTTTTGCCTCAGGTCATTTGTTGTATACAAGATGAGTAACAGAATATTCGCAACCTGGGAAGTAAGCACAAAGAAAACTATTACAGTTACATATGACAAAGTGACTACTTTATGAAAATTTCTCATCCTGCAATAAGATCTCGTAAATATCCGTCCTCAGGTTTAGTTCTTTATCCCGCATCACTTCTTGGAGATCTGACAACTCTTTCGCAGTTAGGACTGAGTTCAGCTTGAGGAATCCATCAAGCCATAACTTTTTCGACCTGGGAAACACATTGAACATAACTTGGTAAGCCCGGAAAAAGAATACCAAAATACACAACTGTACAAGCCAACCCGTATAACCTACTGGCAACAATTCTCCACCATGAGCAACATTCCGTAGTTCTGTGTCTCCACATTTTAAGTTAACAATTAGGAAAATATTAGCACATAGCTTTAAGCTGAGACTGCAGCCGCCAACGTAATAGTACTCTCTCCAGACTCGAGCATTATAAATGGAGTTGCAAAGCTTCTAGCATTATCAACTAATTCACATTTAATAGAACTAAAGGAGAGAGGCTACGAGTGATATTCAGCCAGCTTTTATCAACTAACTCAGTTGAATACTAAATCTAAATAAATTAAGTACTCATTCAATTAAATGCATTTTATAACACCATAGATACCACTTCAAAGAATGTCATTAAAAAGGAGTAAAATTTTAAGTGAGATATATCACTCATCATTGAACAGTTAACATTTGTAAATTCAAAAGTTTTAAAAATATCTCAATTTATGATTGGAACTTAAAATTTCAAATCTTAAAATTTCCGGTGCTCAATATTTATAATTTTATCAAACTGCACAAAATGAATAAGCTTTTCTTTTTTCTTTTTCTTTTTTAATAAATAAGATTGTATTAAAAAGCGTTCAAAAGGGGAACGCATCCCTCAAAAACTACACAAAGCCAAATAGGGCCTCTAAAAATCAACTATCTCCCGTAAGGATTTACAATTTCTCCCTAGAACCCTACAAAAAAGAGTGCTAATAATTGAGGAACTTCAGCGCACCAATGGGGAGTCTCCTTTCCTTCAAAAGATTTCCTATTTTTTTCTAGCCATAAACGCCACTAGACGCACAAAGGCGTAACCGTCCAAAAATCATGAGCTTGAGGCCCCCAGTATACAACCTCTCCAAGCCTCAACCAAGCCTCTGGAAGAGCTGGGCATAACCCACTGAACCGCAAACAGACCCAACATCAAAACCCAGCAATCCCACCCCACTGGCAATGCAAAAGATGGTGGTCAACTCTTTCCTCATATCTCTTGCACATGCTGCAACAATTGACCACAATCTCTCTCCTCCTCTTTAGATTATCCTGGATCAAGACCTTCCCCAACACAGATGTCCATGCAAAGGAGGCCACCTTGAGGCCTTAGAACGACAAATAGCCTTCAACAAGAACGGAACCCCTGGAACATTCGTAAGACACCTATAGAATGACCGAAACTCCAAACAACCCTGGGAAGAGAGAACCAGACCACAAAGTCAGGAACTCCACTCACAATCTCATGGCAATACGACTACTCCAAAAAACCAATGGCGTCCTCAATCTCACAATCCTGAAAATGCCTCGAAAAACGCACATCTCAGGACGTTCTCCCGCTATCGAGCCGATAGCAGTCAACCACCAAGTTAAAACAGAATTGATTAAAAAAAAAAAAAAAAAAAAAAGAAAAAAAAAAAAGGGGTCACCATGTAGGCAAATATGGGATATTGTCCTGCTTTGCTTAATCCTGAACATTTGATTATAAAGAAATAGGTTGTCCTATGAAGGTGGTGAAATTATGCCTCGGCTACGTCATTTCCGCCATTTAAATTACGTGACGTCAACCCTAAATTCTCTCCGAATTTTCTATTCCAGTAATTTTCCAATGTATAGTTAACATCGTCTTTTGGTGCTCAAGAGTATATATAACATATCAAAAAGGGGAAATGAGAGTGTGAAAGTGGCTATTGTCACAGAGTGCTACTGAATAAATTATGAGAATATAGAAGACACAGGAATGGAGGCTCCCCGATGAGGGAGAAGATTGCTGAAAAGAGAAGGGAATTGTAAGTGTTAGGAGAATATCATGATAGGAGTGATTTAAGCCTTGATAGAATATTGATACGAGTGATTTATGGAGTCGATTTTAGGAATCCTCTATCAATATATTTTCCATATTTATCACTTGTATTCTTTTACCTATATATTAGGTAGTCATTGTAAACAAAACAAAGAGAGAATATAATAAAAATGATGTAGCCCTTTTGGCTTTGTATGCCGTGGACGTAGACCTTAGTGGCCGAAACAAGTATATACTTGTGTTGTTTCATTCTTAATTTCTCTCTTCAATCTTTTATTCTTTTATTTTTATCAACATAGTATCACGGTAGGCTTATCACATCCTACTCTAGGCATGTTCGGCTTTCGTGTGTCTCACTAGAATTTTATGATCAGATTTACTCGTCTCGGATCATAAGAACAACTCGTCTCAGATCTTTGGAACAACTCATCTTGGATATTTGGATCTATTCGTCTTGGACTCTCGACAATTTCGTATTTAATTTCAAGTTGGACATTTTTTTTTTGATAAATAATAATAACATAAAAAGGCATTCAAAAGGGGAACGCGTCCCTTGTATAGAAGTGGAACCGGGGCTAAGGCCCCAAGAATCCAAAAAAATAATTAAATCATCAGAAGAGGAGCAAGAGCTCCTCTTCACGTAATTGAAAAGAGAACAAAAAATGTGAAGTTTCAACATTGCCGTAGACGACTCTTTCCCTTCGAACATTCTACTATTTCTCTCCTTCCAAATACACAATGTGAGACAATTCTACAAGAAATCACGTACATCCCTCTTCTCACACGACATCCTCACATCCTCTCCAAACATGAATCAATTCCTTAGTAGATCGTGGTATTACCCAACGCATGCCAAACAAACCAAGAATAAGATTTCAACAGTCATTCGCCACAAGGCAATGCATAAGGAGGTTATCAACTGACTCCCCATCTTTCTTGCATGGACAATATCAATTAACAATACAATTGCCCCTTTTCCTCAAATTATCAATTGTCAGAATCTTTCCCCAAACAGCGGTCTAGACAAAGAAAGCCACCCTAGTTGGAGCCATGGATCGCCAAATAGACTTCCACGGGAAGTCACGATTATCAAAATTAGACAAACATAAGAACAAGGATATTACTTCGAAACGACCGTGGAAAGATGGAACCCAAATCAAATCATCATTATCTCTGCCAACACCCTCCTGCCGATACAAAAGATTCAGAAAAACACATACCTCATCCAACTCCCAATCCTGAAAAGAGCGCCGAAAGTGCACATCCCACGTAATCCCACAAGCTGATAACAGTCAACTACATAAGGGTGTTTATCAACTGCAATACTGAATAATCTAGGAAATGTACGAGATAATGGCTGATCACTACACCACAGATCTTCCTAAAAATGAACGCAGCGTCAATCATGGACTTTGAATCTGATATGAGCAGAAAAGGCATCCCATCCCTTCCGAATAGACTTCCACATCCCTACTCCTCCCACAAGGAAACCGGACGTGTAGACCAGCCTCCAACCTCTTCCCCAAACCGACAAGAAACTAACCTGCGCCAAGGACGATGTCTTTCTCTCCCATATCTCCATAACCATTTACCCAGGAGAGCTTGATTGAAAGGAACTAATTTTCTTATGCCACGACCACTCAATTTCATAGGCTTGCAAACTTACTCCCATCTGACAAGGTGATACTTGAACTCATCACCCCTTCCTCCCCATAGGAAGTCCCTTTGAATTTTTTCAATCCTATCCGCAACGGAGCAAGGGATTTGGAACATAGAAAGAAAATAAGTGGGGAGGCTCGATAATGTACTTTTAATAAGAGTAACTTTACCCCCTTGGACAAGTATTGCTTCTTCCATCCTGCCAATCTCTTCGCATACCTCTTAATCACTGAATCCCAACTCCCCACTATCCTTGAAGAGACCACTAGGGGCAAACCCAAATAAGGAATAGGGAAAGAACTCACTATGCATCCAAGAACTACAGCTAAAGAGGAAATATCCTGAACATTCCCTACTGGGATATATATATATATATAGATATTTGATAAGTAAAAATGTATTGGGTGTTAGGAGAATATCATGATAGGAATGGTTTAAGCCTTGAAAAAATATTGATAGGAATGATTTATGGAATTGATTTTAGGAATCCTCTATCAATGTATTTTCCATATTTATCACTTGTATTCTTTTATCTATAAATAAGGTAGTTATTGTAAACAAAACAAAGAGAGAATATAATAAAAATGATGTAACACTTTGTGCTTTGTGTATCGTGGACGTAGACCATAGTGGCCGAAACAAGTATATGCTTGTGTTGTTTCATTCCTAATTTCTCTCTTCAATCTTTTATTTTTTTATTTTTAGCAACATGGTATCAGAGTAGGCTTATCACATCCTACTCCAGACTTGTTTGGCTTTCGTGTGTCTCACTTGAATTTTATGATCAGATTTGCTCGTCTCAGATCACAAAACAACTCGTCTCGGATCTTTGCATCTACTTGTCTTGGATCTCCAGAACAACTCATCTTTGATATCTGGATCTACTCGTCTTAGACTATTGACAACTTCGTATTTAGTTTCAAGTTCGACACTTGAGTTAAAATCTCCGTGTACTAACTTGAGGGAAGGTGTTGGGAGAATATATATATATATAGATTTTTTTTTTTTTTTTCGATAAGTAAACATATATTAACTAGATATATTTGATAAGTAAAAATGTATTGGGTGTTGGTACAATATCATGATAGGAATGGTTTAAGCCTTGATAGAATATTGATAGAATATGATTTTTGGAAGCTTCCATCAATGTATTTTTCATATTTACCACTTGTATTTTTTCACCTATAAATAGAGGTGATCATTGGAAACAAAACAAAAAGAGAATATAATAAAAGTGATGGAACACATTGGGCTTCGTGTGCCGTGGATGTAGGCTGTAGTGACCAAACCACACATCTCCTTGTGTTGTTTTATTCTTAATTTCTCTCTTCAATCTTTTATTTTTTTATAAACAGTAAGCAAACGCACAAATCCTTCAAACTGATGCTGAGTTGTAACCTGAGTGAGTCATGTCGTTCATGTTATTATTATTATTATGTTTTTTTAATAAGTATCATGTACTTCAAGTTATGATTAAACCTTCATACTATACTCTGATTGAAATGTGTCTTAAGAACCACAAATAGTGGGATAGACAAATTTAATTGATCTAAATGACTATGAAATAAATAGGCCATCCGAATATCTTACTAACCTATCACATTAGCTTTTTTGTTTTCCTTGATCTATCATTACTGTTTTAGAAACTAACATAATTTGTAATACAGCATTGACAAGAAACTTCAGTAGTTTCTCAATTTCTCATGTGAACTAACCTTATTGGTCAACTACAAGCATTGGCAGACAATCACAATAAATCATGATTTATGAGACAGTTACATTAAAAGAAAGTATTCCTTTTCATTGAGAGTAAGAGCTTACCATGGGCAGGCATGGATAGCTCGAAACATAATTCGTCGAGCAGCGGAAGGGTTGCATGCTACATTAATTTCATATGCAATATAGCAACGCCAGAGTATTACTGAATTTCGCAATCTGTCATTTGACAATGCCCTTTCAAATAATCCATGTATTCTATGCAGGCAAGCTCCTCTACTCATCTCAAATGACAATGCAAAGAGCCAAACTGTCACCGATGGTTTCCTGAGTGTGTGGACAGAGCGTAAGATTTAATTGCATATTATGAGCACATGCAAAGTTGAATAAACTATTGAAAGCAGTTCAAAATTAATATACGCCATCTCAAAATAAACCAAAGAGTTGACAAGGAACAATATCATTAATTTTTTTAGATAGGTGACATGTTCACTTAAGAAAGCTTGGGAAAAATTCAGAAATTCTTATAAGGTAGAGTGGTTTGGCATATGCTGGGGCAAACATAGACCTAGATGGTGTGTCACTGCAGTCTTTGTAATGCTGGACAGATTGCCTTCCATGCTTAATCTGCAGAAGAGAAATATTAGTCTTGCTGCTAGGTGTTCTAACTGTCAGCAGGATGTAGACACCAGAGAGCATATATTCTTCACGTCCATTTGCAAATGCTGTATGGAGGTGGTTAGCTTAGGTGATGAGGTGGGATATTGCTCCTTCCTTTAACTGTTTGGGACTGGTTCTTATGGTTTTGGTAGAACAACCACAGCTCCAAAGTGTGTAACAGCAATGCCAGACTTCGTGATGCAGCTCCTAGATCCACTGATGCAGTTGCTAGAGGTCTATTACTTGAAATTCTAGATGTTCACAATTTATCCATTAATGACTTGCACTAGTAACCGATTTTGGTTTTTCCTTTGAGTGTACTGGATATGGGCCTTCTCTTTACTGAAGGGCTTTCTTTCCTATTTTTGACTGAGGCTATGCCCTTTGTGCGCCTGTAATCATTGTTTTCCTTTTTCTTTTTTAATACAACACCAATTATGAAAAAAAAAAAAAAAAAAATGATCTTAATAAAATGAAGCTGCAGCACATACATAAAGAGTTGAAAGAAGATGAATGGGTGCAAAGCAGCTATTTTCATTTTATCTATTGTGATTGAATGGTGATAGACACCTTTTACAAAGTGACTCTGTCCATAAAGAGGAAAATTACAGCAATCTCATGTCTATCATAGACACTGGCGAACACACATTTTAAATAAGAGAATAATTAAACAGACAATTTCTTCTCGAAGGCAGGTCCGGAGCAAAGATAGCAAAGAGACGTAACAATCAGCTACTGTAACATTCAAACAAATTGCAATTCTCAGAAAATTTTGCAAATAAAAATTCTTTAGCCAACCAAGCACATCTGTAGCCATTCTCTAAGGCAAGCAAATTTTGTTCTTTTTAATTTTTCTTTCTCCTTGCTTTTGAAAAGTACACCTCGTGATAGACAGTGGACACCATGCAAAGAGCAATATGCAATCAATTTGTGTCCATGAAGTTAATTTATTGATGCTTCTATTCAATAAGAAATGAAAATAAGAATAAACAAATATAGTGAAACCACCAAAAGCAAAAGAATAATGAAGGGAAGCATCAAATATTTTATAGGTATGAGTGAGGAGCTAATAATAAAACTTTCATCAACCAAAAATCCTATCTCCACTCAAAATGGAACTTATCTAAACAACAAAACAGAGAATTTATCCACGGTCCAACCAAGTTTAGTGCATCTTAAATACCAAAATGCCCTTTAAATGGCCAAAACATGTAAGGCAGGCCATACCTGGTCCTTAGTCTTCTTTGTAGTTTAAAAAGACAAAAAAACAAATAATGAAAGATCCAAAAAGAAATTCTGCATGATTTTGTACCTATCATGAGTTGTAAAATAATCTATTGTTGGAATCTAATCGCAAAGCTACTTTCTGTTTTTCATTCAGCTAACATAAAAGTGAATATTAATAATCATGTTAGAAATAAGTGACTTTAGTTTTTGCAACACTATTAGTCAAAGTGATGAGAAAGCAATTAGGTGAATTAATATCTTCATATTGTGTAATATGCTTATATAACATTTCAATGGTGTGTTTACATATTCAATTATAGGGATCATTGCTTGGTGCAATTGTACATGTTTGAAATGGCCAGTTCAACTCTTGAGACCATTTATGCAGAATAATGTCAAAAATTATATATGCATCAGAACTTCTCTTCCCAACACCCCTCATAGTGCAATTACAATTTGAGATGACCAGACAAAAGGAGAAAGAATTTTTTTTTGATAAGTGGCAAAAGCCTAAAGATTATAGCCATATGCACAAGAGGTTGTTGGATACATCGTGGATTGGCTAAATTTTAAGGGTGGAAAAACTGACAAAACCATCAACATGAGAATCCAACACGAGTGGGCTTAGATTAATTTTAATCGTGTTCATGTCAACCCAATTAACATAATGAATACATGGAATGTAACTTTAGTAAATATAGAAATATAAATGAAGATGTAGTGAGGATTGAGAATCAAGAGGTGCAAAAAAGTGATCATTTTTGTTATTTAGGTTCAATTTGAGATGCGTTCTGATATGGCTTCAAGTTGTTTCAGGTTTGAAGATTAACGTGGGAAAATTTTTTTGGTTCCAGTTGAGGAGGTTCCTGATATTTCCATTCTGGCTGATACCTTAGGCTGTTGCATTGACTCTTTCCCTATCTATTACTTGGGGCTTCCTCTCAGGACGCCGTCGAGGAGAATGGGTTTTTGGTATCCCGTGGTGGAGAGGTTTGAAAGAAGGTTGGCAGGCTGGAAGAAGCAGTATCTGTCGAAAGGTGGAAGATTGACTTTGATGAAAAGCAATTTGTTGAGCCTTCCTACTTATTTCCTCTCTCTTTCAGATTCCTTCTTCTGGTTCTGAGAGGATACAGAGATTACAGCGGAACTTTCTTTTGGGTGGGGGAAAGGATGGGGAGGAGTTCAAATTTTATTTGGTTAATTGGGAGCAAATGTGTCGTCCAATTAGGAATGGTGGGTTGGGTATCAGAAAACTGGTGCCTTTTAATAAGGCCCTTTTGGGGAAAAGTGGTTATGGAGGTTTGGTTTGGAGAGGCACAGATTGTGCACGATGGTGATTGTGAGTAGATTTGGGGAGGACAGAGGTGGCTGGTGTTCGCTGGACGCGCAAGTGGAGTTGGCGTGTGGAAATTCATCAAAAAGGGATGGGATGAATTTTCTAAGCTCATGAGGTTCCGAGTCAGAAATGGTAGCACAATTTGTTTTTAGGAGGATGTTTGGTGTGGGGAACGGTCTCTTGCTCTTTCCTATCGCAGTCTCTTCAGAATTGCCACGGACAAAATCGTCTTGATAGTGGTAGATCATCCCGGGATGTGCGTGTCTCGAGGCATTTTCAAGATTGGGAGATTGAGAAAGTAGTTGGTTTTCTGGAGGAGTCGTACCATCAAGAGATTGAGAGTGGAGTCCCTAATTCTATGGTGTGTGTCCCCTCTTCTAGGGGTCATTTTGAAGTTCGCTCTTTCTTTGGATGTCTTATGATTTCTACAGGAGATGCATTCCCGTGGAAGACTATTTGGCGTTCTATGGCCCCCCTCAAGGTGGCTTTCTTTGTTTGGACATTTGTATTGGGAAAGGTATTGACCCAGGATAACCTTAAGAGGAGACAAGTTGTGGTCAACTGTTGTTGTATGTGCAAGAGAGACGAGGAAACAGTAAATCATCTTCTTTTACATTGCCCAGTGGCAAGATTGCTGGGCTTTGATGTTTGGTTTGTTTGGAGTTCAGGGGATTATGCCCAGATCTGCTAGAGGCTTGATTGAGGCCTAGAGAGGCTGTTTAGTGGGGGCTCAAGTTTGTGATTTCTGAAGGATCACACCTTTGTGCATCTGGTGGTGTTTATTGCTTAAACAAAATAGGAGATCCTTTGAAGGGAAGGAGACTTCTATTGGTGTGCTGAAACTCTCCATTATTAGCTCTATTTTCTGTTGGGTTCTTGGGAGAAATTGTAAATTCTCTAATGAGATAGTGGACTTTATTGACTCTTTGAGAGATTAGAGGCCCTATTTGGTCTAGTGTGGCTTTTGAGGGATGCGTTTCCCTTTTGAAGGCTTCTTTATATACAATCTTACTTACCATAAAAAAAAAAAAAAAAGGATGGGTTAAATGGAGTACATGTAGTATGTTGTGTGACAGACGTATCCTCTTAAAATTGAAAGAGAAGTTCTATCGAACCGCTATTAGACCACCCATACTTTATGGCACAAAATGTTGGGCAACTAGAAAACAACATATGCATAAAGTGAGTAGTAGAAATGCGAATGCTGAGATGATTTTTGCAATAAGACTAGAAAGGATAGAATTATTGGGAAATGGTTGGAGTAGCACAAATTGGTGATAAAATGAGAGAAAATCGGTTAAGATGGTTTAGACATGTGCAAAGTAGACAAGGGAGCCAATTAGGAAGAGTGACATTGTCCACATTGAGATAATACTAGGAGGAGGGAAAGACCAAAGTTAAAGTGGGTAGATTTAGTAAAGAAGAATATGATTGCATGCAGTTTGACTGAGGCTATGACCTTAGACAGAGCAGAATGGAAACATAGGATTTATGTATCTGACCCCGAGTAGTTGGGAAAAGGCTTGTTGTTGTTGTGTGGTACTATAGTGAAATCCTTGATTAGTTATTGTAATTATAGAGATAAATGAAAATTTTAGTCATTTCAAAGTTTTTAATTCAACTCTTATTTTTTGGTTTATATTTGCAATTTATATTTATCGAAAAATTAGTAAATAGATGGTTAACGGGTCATGTCATAATACTTGTTTAATTAACAATTTGAGTTCATGTCGAATATGTCTAACCTGTTTAATAAATGAGTCATGTTGGAGTTGACTCATATAACATAATATCCTTATTTTGATACAACACGACTACGACCCATTAACACGAATTGTCACACCTACTAAATTTTTATAGTTGTATAAAAAAACAAGGTCTATGATTCAAGTACAAAGGAATAAGAAGGTCTTACTTGTGACAGTATTCATCAAATATCCACCGCAGCTTATTGGGCGTAGTATGAAGATGGCCAATTTCAACCAAGGCATTGTAAAGTTTCGGGCTGAAAGGATATATTTGCAACCCTTTAACAATGGAGTCCCATACTTTTGAAAGTGTTGCTTGTGCACGATGTCTCCAAAGCATCCTCACATAATAGTTAAATAAAAACTCAAGTTGAGAACTTTTGCTTCTTCTCTCTGCAGTTAAATACATTGTAGTAGTCATCATAAATAACTAATATACATTATAACTTGAATTATATAAAATATCCACTGAATTTCCTCAATGCAGAAATATGACTTCACTGTTGGGAAGTACATTCGAATGGTCAACAAAACATGTAAGACAAATGCAATTCGCAATTATTCACTAGTACTATTTTCATTTATTCAGTTACTCTCCAGTGGTTGATAAAAAACAGAGTGAAAGAAAACTATAATTTCATTTCTTAAGTTCTACATTCTATTGGTTTCAGAAAGTTATAAGTCATGCTAACGAAGAGCCTTTTTTTTTTTTTGGGATCAGATAGTAACGAAATTAGAAAGCATTCAAAAGGGGAACGCAGTCCACAAAACAAGAAGGACCAAATAGGACCCTGATCCGAAGTTAATAGAATAGTAGGTTCAATCCAGTGAACTTCTTTGTTTTATTAGGTTCCAAATGATTTTTTTTTTGGATTTTCAGATTTCCAGATGATGGAAATCTGAAAAGTTTAATAATCTAGTTCCTATGTCCTTCAGATGGTGCTTAAATGGGCTATTGGAAGGCACAACCAAGCACAACCATCTCTTCTAGAAATACTTCTGGTCCATGGATTTTTGCGAAGCTTGGTAAAGTCAGGTTGGGTCTAATGGTCATGCAACTGTGAACCCATTATGGGCAAACATTTGGGTAACTTTCAAACCTCTGCAACCACCTACAAAGTGCAATTACAGAAAACTGAAACTGCTCAGAAATCCATGATCTCCCAGGAGGAGTCATGGGAAACCTCCTCCTCTTAGCTCAGAAATCTGCTCTAGTTTGTTCGCAGTTGTTTTAAAATTTTATTGTCTAAGAGTTATTTATTTGTTTATTTTGACTTCAGAAGGGGTGGAGAAACGGTTGCATTAAGGCGTCAACATCAAGTTTTCATCCATAAAAATTCTGGAGTCTCTAAAATGAACAGGTGGCATTCAGCGTCAACATCAAGTTTGTTCATTAAAATTCTAATGTCTTTAAAATTAAGAGTTTAAACTGCACTTTTTTTTTTTTATAAATAAAAAGATTCTTAAAAAGCGTTCAAAAGGGGAACGCATCCCGATTACAAAAGACGAACAGGGGCCCTAAGGCGCCAAAGAAGTCAAAAATCTATCATCTCCTCAGGAGAACAATGTCTACCCGAACCCCAAAAAAAAGAGAGAGCCAATAACAGAAGACTTGAGAGCAGCAACCGAGGACTCCTATCCTTCAAAGGCTCTTCTATTGCGCTCCATCCACAAACACCACCATAGACACAAGGGCGCCATCCTCCAATACCCTCTAGCATGAGATCCCACAGAACCCCCTCTCCAAACCTCCATCAATCCTCTTGTAGATCTAGGCATGACCCACGTAACTCCAAACAGACCCAACAAGAGGCTCCAACAATCCAAGGCCACTGGGCAATGCAACAGGAGATGATCCACCGACTCTCCATTTCGCTTCCACATGTAGCACAGTTAATAATGATATGCTTTCTCCTCCTCAAATTGTCAAGCGTCAAAATCTTACCCTACACCACAATCCAAGTAAAGAAAGCCACTTTAAGCAGCACCTTGGAACGCCACACTGCCTTCCATGGAAACCACCTGGCTGAATCCAACAGACAACCGAAAAAGGATCTCACACAAAAAGTACCCCAAGAGGAGGGAACCCAAACCAAAGAATCCCTACCTCCACCACGAATCTCCTGTCTGTACAAAAGCTCCAAAAAACTGTAAACATCATCCAGCTCCCAATCCTGAACCGATCTCCGAAAATGTACATCCCAGGTCATCCTCCCGCTATCAAGCCAATATCAGTCAGCAACCGAGGCATGCCTATCAACAGCAATCCGAAACAGTCTCGGAAATAAACAAGCTAGAGTATGATCTCCACACCACAAATCCTCCCAAAAGCGAATATCCGTACCTTCCTAAACTCTTAATCTAGTATGCTTGGAAAACTCATTCCACCCATTCCGAATAGCTTTCCAGACCCCCACCCCTCCAGGAATCGTCATAGAAACCGAGCACCACCCCCCAACCTCCTCCCCAAAACGTCCCAAAAGAACTCTCCTCCATAACCTGTGACGCTCCAAACCAAACCTCCATAACCACTTCCCAAGAAGGGCCCTGTTAAAAGGCACTAACCTCCTAATCCCTAGGTCTCCGAACTGAATGGACCTACATACCTGCTCCCAACAGACAAGATGATACTTAAATTCATCCACTGACCCTCCCCATAAGAAGTTCCTCTGTAGTCTCAATCGTAGCGGCTACTGAGGACAGAATCTGGAAAAGGGATAAAAAATAAGTAGGGAGACTCGACAAAGTGCTCTTCAACAGATTGACCTTAAACTGCACAACATGCAAATTCTGTAATATTAGAAAATTATCTTTTAGAGGTTGCCAGATAGCAGCTAAAAACCCAAGAACTATCAAGTCAAGATGACACCAATTGGAAACTATTAAACAAATTCAAATTTGTCATGGCCAAAGCTCGTCATCACTGGCTCAACTACACAGATCACTTTGTTGACTGGATACAGGAGGGAGAAACCTTGGACTACCTATTCATTGATGCACGATCCCTACATAAATCCAAGATAAATTAATAGGATCTATTCTTCAAACAAGAACTCTGCATTAGATACAAAAATTGTCACTCCTTTCCATGCAAATAAAAGCTATTTATTTCTCAAATACTGGTTAGGATGTCCGTCTACAAATATGACCATAATGAACCATGAAAGAAGTCAGAATTGAAGCATGCATTCGAACAAATATAAATTGCAAAAGGAACAAAAGGAAGGAGGAAAAAGACATGAACAAGGAGGCCAAATTACCTGGAAGCACCATGGAGAAAGCCCGATTTAGGACTTCAATTCCAGTAACCCAACCAGTGGTCAACTCTTCAAATAAAGCTGCAGAGCAGATGAGAGCAATAGATATGTCATCTGTAATACCATGTACCCATTTTGTTCTTAGCATTGCCATTTTCTCTTTAAACCCTTGGTGTGCTTTCAGTTGCTGCAGACTTGACGGTTGACATTTAAAAGGGCTGTATTTTACCCCACTTCCAAAGCAAGACAAAATGTGTATCACACGTGATGATGATTCTGAACTACCACCAGAACTACTGCCAAATTCCACTTCAGCATACCAGAAATATAAAAGAGATGCATTTGACTGAAGATCCTGCACAATTGAAAACAGAAAACTAAGTATATCATGTCAGCTAGCAAAAGCACTTTGTTAAATCTAGGACGATATGCTCTGATACCAATTGTTAGGTCTATAATCGATATGCTCTAAATACCAAATTACCAATTATGCGCGCAAGACCGTAACACGAGGCTCTGATGTGAGAGAAGTGCAACACCCAATATAAGTCTAAAGGGTGTGAATAGATCTTTTCTAATTTTAACTTACAATAACTGATTTTTAAACAGACACACGATCCGCTTGTCAATAGATCCGTTTCTCCAACTAGTGATTTGATCTCCAATGACTAATTGTCCGAGAGCATGCTCATTTGTAATCTCCATGTAGCACAAGCATTATGATATTCAACATTCTGAACTCAACATCTGATGCAATATGTAGATGATGAAAAATAAAATATGCTCTCTAAAAATATATGATTCTCATTCTCTCTCTATATGATTTCTCAATAATGTGTGTAGAGAATAGAGATCTCTATGTATGTATATGTGCTATGAAAGCCTAGAGGTTCCTGTATAGTGCTTTAAGTCTAAAGGAATTTGGGTTTCTTATTTAAATCAGATAAGGAAATCTAAACCTTCTAGAATTATGATTTAGAGAAGTTTCTAAAATCAAGCTATCATTGACAACTACTGTCAAGGGGTTGATCAATCGAGAATTCAAATCAAGCTACACTAGCACTGTTTCGATCAATTGAGCTTTCGATCAAAGTATTCTAGACTTCCTGCATTCAAAACATCTTTTGCATAAATCAAACCATGTATGCATTAACGCCTTAAATTGAGAGCATATAATTTTGAACCCTAATTGGAGATTTAATTTAATTACTCGAGAGGTGATTTTACCATTTGCCCTCTAATTGTATCTTCAAATACTGACTCTACCATTGGACATAGGTACCACCACTAACTAACTAACTAACTAAACTAACTTTGAAATCTAATCAAAAGCTAAAAATAAAAATACAGACTTCGACTTCTGTTACGAAATTTTGCCAACACTAAGTTCTATTCCTAGCAATCTGTCTCTTTGGCAATTTTGTGACAAAACCAAAATAAAATAAATAGACTCAAAAATATCAAAAGCTGCTTGTCTTATTGGAACAGCTAGGCATATCAACATTATGAAAGAAATATAAATGAAACACGAATAAAATCATAAATTATAAATTTGCAATCTCTCCTTTAATTGCAATCTCCCCCTCAAACATAAATCACGTGATAATATTTCTTACTGCTTTTTGTCAAAATTGACAAAATAGCAAAGCAAGAAAATTTATATACTCCAAATGTAAACAATGCAAATAAATAAAATTTGTCTCTTAAAAGAATAATATCTAATGAAATATATTCATAATTTCAAGAGGAGATAATTTCCTTTTGAGGGTATTAAACAAATTCATTTAACCTTAAATATTCTTATTTTTATTTTTATTTTTATTTTTCAAAGTTTAACTTTAAACAAATAAATAAGAACTTCTTAAGAATATTAATTATGTGATTTTTTAAAGTTTTGAAATTAATCATGCCATTCTTTCAAAGTTGATTATATTCTCAAATTTAAAAATATTTCATGATCAACACACTAGACTACATAAATCTTCCAGAAATTGACCAAACAATATTGTTAAGCCAAAAGATTATCCAACAGTTTTATTCACTTATTAACTTTTAGTAAATCATTCAAAAATCCTAGTGTGTTGTGTATTCTAACTGTCAACAACTATAAACACAATCAAATTTGTGTCCAAGTTGTTCCGGTTCTTGTATAGTCTTCGGGATGCGTTCCCCTTTTGAAGGCTTTCTAATATATTCTTACTTATCAAAAAATAAATAAAAAATTTGTGTCCTAGTTAATTTTTGAAATAAGTTCTCAAATCTTCAGTGATACATGAACATAGATTAGAAAAGGTTCAAGAAAACTTATATAATTTGAACTTTTAGCACAAGCTCGTCTCTTAAATTGTCACGGCGACTTTCATACTAGTGGGTAGCTCTTTCTATATCTTTTGTCTTCTTTATCATTCCTATTTCTTTTACATTTTTAGGTAGCTTCAGACTAATCCAATAGGTAGCCCTTTCCACAAATTCAACGGTCTTATCATATTGCTATCTTTTTCATCCTTAACTATCTTTTTTTTTTTTGATAAGTAAAATGTATTAGAAAGCGTTCAAAAGGGGAAAGCGTCCCGAGATATACACAAAAAGAATCTATGAACTCAAAGAACCCAAAAAGTCCACAATGTCCTCTAAAGAAGAATAATCCCTCCCCCAACCCCAACAAAAAAGGGTACAAATAATAGAAAATTTCAGCTCTCCAATAGAGGACTCCTTCCCATCAAAAGATCTTCTGTTCCGCTCTTTCCAAAGACTCCACCAAACGCAAAGAGGGGTCACCCTCCAGAAGTCTCTAGCCTGAGTCCCCCACCCATTGGCCCCTCCAAATATCAAGCAATCCTCGAGAAGTCTGAGGCATGACCCAATGGATGCCAAACAAACCAAGCAAAAGACTCCAACATTCATAAGCAACAGGACAATGCAACAAAAGGTGATCCACGGACTCCCCAAAACACTTGCAAAGACAACACCGGTTAACAACAATATGTCTTCTCTTCCGTAAATTGTCCAAAGTCAGAATCTTATTTCATGCATAATCACTTCGATTCTCACTAAATTATCAAGTTCACAACTCAGATTTATGAGTATATATATAAATGTTACCGTGCATTAAGTGGACTTTATGAAGTCATCACCAACGGAAAATAAAATAACTAATTATTTAACAAAACAAATTATTCAATCAAATCTCTACTAGATTATGTGTACCATGTGTTAATTTCAAAAAGAGATGTTATTGTTCAAAAGTAATCTCTTTTGAAATGAGGCTTGAGTTAAAATAAACATATGAATAAACAAAACTAGTTTCCAAGTCTCAAGTCTTTGTAAATTTTCATATTAATCCATCCTAAGACTGATCTCCTTCGTTTTTTTTCTTTCTTTCTAAAGAGCAAGTTTTTTTTTCTTTTAATTTCTTAGGATACTGGTATTCTAAACAATTATGAATATATATATATATATATATATATATATTGGTATACTAAAGATTCTAAAGAAAGTTTAACAGAAATTTCTTCAAATCTTCCTTTTTTTAATCCAGACTTTTATTTTCAAGCCAAAATTTTCTTGCCAGTTAAAATGCTTTTGCTTGCAAATTTTTATTTCTTTCAAATTTTGAAGCAAAAGATATTTGGTGTGGGGATCGTCCCTTGGCTCGTACTTATCCCAGACTTTTTAGAATTGCCCCAGATAGAGATGCCTTGGTGGCCGACTGTTATTGGCTTGATAGCTGGAGGACAACCTGGGATGTTCATTTTTCGAGCCACTTTCAGAATTGGGAGTTGGAGGATGCTTTTGGATTCTTGGAGCTGATTTATTGTCAGGAAATTGTGGAAGGGGGAAGTGATTCCTGCATTTGGGTTCCCTCTCCACAGGGGACATTTGCTGTTCTGTCGCACTACAGATGTCAACCGAATGATCCAGGGCCTCCTTTCCCGTGGAAGGTTGTATGCCCCCCCCCCCCCCCCAACCAAAAAAAACCCAAAAGGTGGCTTTCTTTGCCTAGACGGTTGTGCTTGGAAAGATTCTTACTATAGACAACCTGAGAAGGAGGTGGTATTGCATGTGTAAGAGAAATGAGGATATGGTGGATCATCTTTTGTTGCACTGTCCTGTGGCCCAAGCCTGCTGGGGTCTTTTGCTGAGTCTGTTTGGGATCCGTTGGGTCATGCCTAGGCCTTCCAGGGGTTTGATTGAGGCTTGGAGAGGATGTACAGTGGATGCCCAAGCCCACGACTTTTGGAATGTAACGCCTCTATGTCTTTGGTGGTGTTTATGGACAGAAAGAAATAGGAGATCCTTCGATGGCATGGAGACTCCTATTGGAGCGCTTGAGTTCTCTATATTTTTTTCTCTTTTTTGTTGGGTTTTGGGGAGAAATTTTAAATCCATGGAAGAGATTGTTGATTTTTTGGACTCTTTGAGAGTTTAGTGGCTTTTTAGCCCTGTGTAGTTCCTTGGGATGCGTTCCCCTTTTGAACGTTTTTTAATACATTTTGACTTATGAAAAAAAAAAAAAAAAGAAGAAGAAGAAGAAGAAGCGTTCCCCTTTTGAACGTTTTTTAATACATTTTTACTTATGAAAAAAAAAAAAAAAATTAGGATACATTTTTACTTATGAAAAATTTTTTGTTCAAAGCTAAATCCTTTTGAGACAAATGATTCTCCTCATTATTTCCATTAGCATTCTTTAACTTGCTTTTCTCATCTTTTATATTTACGAACATTTTTATTTTACATAAAACAACCCGTCTTCTCCGAAAACAGAAAATTTTAATGTAACCCCTCCTTTCACAATATGAATATAAATTTTAGGATACTAGGGAGAATCAGATTCTCTAGGGAATTCTTTCATTTTTCCAATTTTAGTGTTAGAAGTAAACGGTAAATTAGAGTTGTTAACAAATCCTCAACACTCTTATATCCTAAATGTTTATTTATCCGCAAGAGTTTATCCAATTTTTCTGTTCCACAAGTCAAGTTGTAAATAGTCTCTTTTGATATTTCAAAACCAGCTACAAGTTTTTCAATTAAATTTATTTTTTTTTTTTTTTTTTTTTTTTTTTTTTTTTTTTTTTTTTTATAGATAACAAAGATTTCATAAAAACGCTCAAAAGGGGAGCGCTCCCAAAGAAGACAACCGCCGTCCATGACAACACTGTAGCTTTAAGCTATCAACAAAATCCAAAAGACAATCCATTGAATTACAATTCCACCCATTTACCCAAAAGAATAAAGAAGAAAGTATACTATATTACTATACTTGAGAGCCCAAAATAAGAGACTCATCTCCCTCAAAGTATCTCCTATTTCTCTCACGCACAAACCCCACCATATACACGGGGGAGTAGCCGTCCAAGCATCTCTGTGACTCGGCTCTCCACTGTACACCCTCTCCAAGTCTCTAGTAAGTCAACCGTAGATTCTGAAACACCCATGGAAAACCAAACGCAAACAAAAACAAAGACCAAACATCCCTTGCCACCGAGCAATGAATGAGAAGATGGTTGACAGAATTCTGGAAACTTTCTAAAATTTATGATTTGATCAAGTTCAGTTTCTAAGAACACTTTATTTCGAAGCTTCTTTTACAACTTTTAGTTCTTAAACTTGAGATAGAGCTTTTTTGTAATTCAAGTATGAAACTAGTTCTTTCAAGTCAACATCTCTAAGTTGTTTTTTAGAAAATATCATGTTCATGATCTATATTTCTAAGTATTTCAACTTTAAGTTTTAAGTTCATCTCGCTCTTTTCCACTACCATCAGTTTTGCACTCAACTTTTTGTTTTTGTTTTTGTCTTTAAGAAAATAATAAATAATTTTTGTACCTAACTTTTGAACAAGAGTCACATTCTTTGTAGTAAATGACAATTTAAGATTTTACTAATAGGGGTAAGTGACGATTCAAACTTAGAACATATAGATTAATTAATAAAAACAGCGAGATTAAAAGGTTCTAACTCAGATTTTTAATTTTTTTTTTAATGAAAAAAAACAATTTATGAACCATAAGTTTTATTCGCAAAAAATAAAAGGATTTATCTATTAGATATTTAGGCAACTGCTCTGAAACCAATTGTTAATCTAGGACTGATATGCTCGGATACTACTTGATGACTATAACTTGAAGATTTGAGGCGAGAGCTGAAAATATATATATATATATATATATTTTGGGGGGGGGGGGGGGGGGGGGGGGGGGGGGGTAGTTGAATTAATCTTTTTCAATTTTAACCACTGGTTTTTAATCTCTAATAATTATATTAACACTGCAACAATATGAATGAGCAGAAATATATAAACCATACAACACATGGATTTTACATAAAAAAAAATTCAACGGAGAAAAAACATAGGACCTAGTCTAGGCAAACCAAATCTACTATGACAAAGAATTACACTAGTAACAGTTCTCAATTTCAAACCCTAGTTAACTCTTGACACAAACTAATCCACTCAGGTCTCCAGAGACATAGTCCGCTCATCAATAGATCCACTTCTCAGACAGTAATTTAATCTCGAACGACTAGTCATTCAAGTTGCATGTTCATTGTGTAGGAACACTTTGGTGTCAAATTCTCCATGTAGCACAAGGATTATGATATTCGACACCGTGAATAATAACTCGCCGTCTAACGTAAGAGGTAGACAATGAAAAATAAAATACGCTCTCTAAAAATATACAACCTCTCTATAATATGTGCCTATATATCTGTGTACATATATCTGTTATAAGGGAATAGAGGTGCTTATATAATGCTATGAGTCCAAAGAAATTAGGGTTTTTTAGTTAAAATCAGAAAAGGAAACCTAAACCTTCTAGGATTAAAATTAGAGAAGTTTCTAAAATTGTTAGCACACAAGTCGATCAATCAAGACACCGATTGACAACTACTGTCCATGGTTATAGAGATGGATCAAGCTACACTACCACTGCTTCAATCAATCAAGACTTGATAGAAGCAATTAGACTTCAATATAGTTTTTTTTCTGGACTATTGACATATTGATCCAAGCTTACTATTTTTGTAGAAAAAAAAAATAGTTTAAAAATATTTATTCCAAAAACAATTTCATGCATTCAGAACATCATTTTCATGAATCAAACTGTGTATTCATTGTGCCCTAAAATGAGAATGTATGATTATGAACATAATTGGTGAGTTAGTTATTCAAGATATGATTTTCCCTTCTTGCCCTTTGATGTATCTTCAAATTCTAATTCTGCCATTGGACATAGGTGACACTATTAGTAACTAATCTAATTTTTGAAAATCTAATCAAAAGCTAATACATATATATAGACTTTGGCTTTTGTTATTGTTACTAAGGAGAGGATGAAGAAAAGAAAAAAAAATCTCTTATTGTTCAAGTTCCACCTTGAAGAAAAGCAGAAAGAATTTCCAAAAAGATCTCAATAGTATTAGGTCAAATTAAGAAAAAAATTATAGAGCTAAATATGCATAAACTACATGCAAAATAGTTGTAATGAATAGTTAAATATGGGGACAGAAACTACACAAACTATGGATACTATTGTGAGTTATGATACAGAACATCCTTGAACTGTGTGCAAGTTTGAAGGAAAGTGGAAGAAGACAAGAGAAAAAAAACAACTGAAGAAAATAGGTTTCTGTGGTTCGGCAGAAGACCTACATCCATGGATCCCAAACAATACCCACCAAGAGATTAAACCACTATTAGCTGCAAATTAAAGAATTCTACTACCAAATAAAAAAAATAAAAAATAAAAAGAAGAAGAAGAAAAGGAAGTGTTCCCTTAAGCAAGGAAAGTACCTTTTAGATAACAAACGGTACTTAAGGATGAATAAAGTTTCTAATTGTTTACATGGATGACTAGTAGGCAGTACACATCCAAGCCAGGCCGGTTAGATCAGCTGCTGGCGTGGGAGTGTGGAAATTCATTCAAAAGGGATGGGATGAACTCTCTAAGCATGCTAGGTTCAAAGTTCGGGAGGGCAGGGATGTCCGGTTCTGGGAGGATTCTTGGTGGGGTGATCGCCCGTTGTCTTGTTTGTTTCCAAGACTTTTTAGGATTGCTGCAAATAGACATGCTATAGTAGCGGACTGTTATCGGCTTGATAGCAAAAGGCTTACGTGGGATGTGCGTTTTCGGCGTTCCTTTCAGGATTGGGAACTTGATGATGTCTTTGGCCTGCTGGATCTTGTGTGGACGGTAGAGGGTTTGATTCCTTGGTTTGGATGCCATCTCCTCAGAGAAGGTTTGATGTCCGTTCTTTGTTCCTTTGCCTCGCCGGTTTTCATGGTTCAAATTTCCCATGGAAGACGGTTTGGTGTTTGAAGGCCCCTCTCAGGGTGGCCTTTTTTGTTTGGACTGCAACTTGGGGCTAGATTCTGACTCTGGACAATTTGAGAAAGAGAAGACAGATCACAGTCAAATGGTGTTGTAAAAATGATGGAGAGTCTGTGGATCACCTTCTTTTGCATTGCCCTGTGGCTTATGATTGCTGGAGACTGTAGTCTTATTTTTGGTCTTTTTGGCATTCATTGGGTTATGCCTCGGTCCTCAAGGGAGTTGATTGACGTTTGGAGGGGCCAAGGTGTGGGGGCTCACGCTGACCCCCCTTCGTGTTTGGTGGAGCATTTGGAAAAAGAGAAATAAAAGATCTTTTGATGGGGAGGAATCCTCCATTGGGGCGCTGAAATTTTCTATTATGAGTTCGCTTTTTAGTTGGGTGATGGGGAGAAAATTTACATCTTTAGATGAAATCGTGGACTTTTTGGGTTCTTTGGGTCCACAGGATTTTACTTTTGGCTTTGTTCCTTGTACAGCTCTTGGGAAGCGTTCCCCTTCTAAATGCCTTCTAAAACAATTTTATTTATCAAAAAATATATATATGATTAGAAAAGTATAAATCCCGAAGATGAGGGAGACATAACCATACATTCTCTCACAATCCTGATAACACATACAAGCAAAAATAGCAGTGTGATTTCAGATGGTTTCATGCAATGCCCCTATGAATGTAAATACATTAAATTTCACTTTCTAACACATGAAAACACTAATATATAGAGAACTTACCAATGGAAGCCCTTCAATAGAAGCCAATGCCATGTCGAAAACCTTTCTTGCATGATCAATATTCCCAAAGGCAGCCTCTCTTCGTGCATAAACTCCACAAAGTAGTACATCCTATGGCAACCAAAAAAAAAAAAAGAAAAAAAGTGGGGTTCCATCAAACACAAGGTAGGCTTGAAGTGCTTATAAGTAACACCAACATCTAATTTCAACAAGAACACCACACCAAACTTTAATAAGATTCTAGGAGGAGTGTATGTTAGGGGTGCAGTCCCTGTATCATTTACACATGCCTTCATCTATGAGCTCGTAAAATTTTCGGTGTTGAATTTTCATTTTTATCAAAAAGCAATATAATCCGTCCTCCAATCATTTTTTAAGTCTTCTAACAACTGGAGGGTCTGTGAACCACCTTTTGATTTACTGCCCAGTGGCGAGGGATGTTTGGGCTATGTTCTTGGTTGTTTTTGGTCTGACTTGGGTGTTTCCTTAGTCCACGGTCGATTTTTTAGAGGCTTGGAAAGGGTGCACAGTGGAGAACCACGTCAGAGATGCTTGGAGGGCCACTCCCCTTTGTTTACGGTGGGGTTTGTGGCGCGAGAGAAATAGGAGGTCCTTTGATGGGGAGGAGTCTCCTATTTGGTCTCTCAAATACACTCAAATACAATATACTGACTTCTTTATTCTTTTGGCTTAATGAGCAAAATTGTATACCTTTGGGTATTCTTTTGGATTTTGTGGATAGCTTAAAGTTGTAGGGTCGCTGTAGGTGACCTTTGTTCCCTTTAGAGCTGTCCCCTTTTGAGCGCCTTTAATGAATTATTACTTCTTCTTTTTTTTTATAAGTACCTTTAATGAATTATTACTTATAAAAAATATATAAAAAAACACTGGAAAAGGTTTCCAACACCAAATAAAACTTGTTTTTACTTTTCCATAAATGATAAAAGAAGAGGTTTTCACACACACACACACAGAAGAAAATAAGCTTGTTATATACAGAGTTTTATATTAACATTCAAGGCTTCCTTGCTCTCTCTTTCTGTGTTTTTCAGAACACACTAATTCTTTAAATGTGAAGTTTTCTGAACTTTAAGAAGATCTGTTACATAAATTCAAAATCAGAAGAGCATTCAGAAAGCATCAGTCCATCAATCAATTATTGGTCATTGTGTAGAGAGCGGTTGTCGAGTAATAACTATAGAAGAAGACATGTCATCAGTGTTATGGCCTTGAAGATTCAGGAGTCAGTCTAAGGCATGGGCTACTTCTGGACTCGAAAGCACTGAGTAAATAAATCTGCAACCAAGTCTTTGCACATTTGGGTGCAAGTCTGAGTCAAAGTACGTGGTTTTGCTTCATCTTCTGATACTGAATTGTTTGATTTAGACTAGATCCCCTTGTTTTCCCCAATTGGATTTTCCATTCTTCACATAAAAATTGCTTGCGTCTCTGCTCTAAGTTTGCATTATCTTCAGTGCCTTTTGATATTGGTTTCCATTATAATTCACAGACTCCGTACCAAAGGGCCTTTGGCCTAATGGTATAACCTCCTCATCTTCAAAGAAGAGGGGAGGGGTTCGAGCCCGGGCGTGGGCAAAAAAGTGTGTGTGTGTTTGCTTTATCAAAAAAAAAAAAAATTAAAGTAATAATTCACAGACTCCGTACAATTTAAATGAACAAAAGAGGACTATTCCCGTCCCCTCTAGGTAAACCAACTACGATTTCCGCTTGTGCCATCAATCATCTGGATCTACTCCTTATCTCAACAGATTATGGTTTCACGGGTCATCCTACGTGGCTTTGTCAGATTAAACCTTCTCTCTGCCCTTTAAATGGGAGGAATGAAGATGGTAGTTGATTTTGCATCATCCTGTTGGGGATCCAACAATTTGGAGTCAGTAGTTCACAGGATGACAGCCAAGATCACCACTTCATTCTTGTCAAGATCAATGTTAAAAAGTTGAGGGTACGTTTCCACTGAATGCCATTGCAACTTTTGGAAGTGAGTGATGGCAGATAAAAGCAATGGAATGTGGTGCTCGACGCAAGAAAGGTTAGCAGTCCCTAGAAAGTTTATCAATGAAGGAGGCAGGAACTGAAGCTCGTCTCAACATCGTTGTTTTTCTTGTTGCTGATGCTGTTGTTAGTATGGGTCTGGTTGGAATATCATAGTCATGACAGCTAATATGCCATATTTAGCTCCTTTATTTTAGGGTTTTGATTATCATGATTGCTGTAAGTTAGGGATTTCATTAATATGATTATTATAGTTAGGAGCAGATTGTAGGGATTTGTTTTCGACTTTCTTTCCTTGTATAGTTTTCCTCTTTTCTATATATACTTGTAGAAGATGTATATTCAGAAGATGAAATATACTGAGAATTTTCTCTCTGAAATTCAACATGGTATCATAGCAATAGGGTGAGAAAGAGAGAAAAGTAAAGAGAAACCAAAGTGCTTTGAATCAATTAAACAAATAATGGAACTGTCTCAAATCAGATCCACTGATAGATAAATGTTCATAAACTAACACTGTCAAAAGAATATCAATCAACTCATAAAGTATTATTTACATCCTAAGAATGGTGCATATAGAAAGCTAAGAAAGAGTCTTCCACAACAAAAAAAAAATAAATAGTAAATAGTGAAGAATACCTGACGGTTAGTTTTCAGGAGTCTTTTTGCTAAAGCTAGACATGGGGTTGTTGAAGATTTACAAGAATTCATTCTTGTATTTGACAGCTCTTCAGCAACAAGAGCAGCTTCTTCTAAAATGTAATTGCGTGGAAATGCAGTGATACAAAGTAAGGCAGCATTGCAAAGAAATTTCATCATGTTAGTTCTCATGGAAATGTCGTTTGAGCTGCCCAAAAGGAATTCCAGACTGAAACTACTTGGACTGCTTTCTGCTTTCACTAACACATCATGAACCTTTCTCAGATCATCCAAGACAGAATCTGGCAGAACTTCTAGGCTGAGGATTTTTTCTGCCCAACTTGAACTGTTTGTGCACGCCCTACAGAATAATGAAGATTATAGTCATCAATCCAATAATGCATGGCAAGTGTCATCATTTATTCATGCGTGTAGAAAAAGACATCCATGCTAAAGCATGTGCAGGGAAAAAGATGAGAACAGTAAATACTTATCAAAAAAAATAAGATGAGAACAGTAACATGATTTAGACCTTACCAAAAGCATTATCTATACACATTGATAGATCGTAACACACGATCTACACACATTGTAGAAAAGTTGAAGCGAATCATCAATACTGTATTAAGTGGAGTAATTTACTTCGTTCCTGTATTAAATAGAGCAATTTTTCAGAAAGCATGTGTACGTCTTCATGGTTTTCTTTGTTTTTTTTTGATAAGTACACGTCTTCATGGTTTTCTACCATTTAAAATTATGTCCCTAGATGTCAAAGAAGGCTGAAATTTAGTGGAATGTTCCATCCGTCATGGGTAACATTGAACTCTTCAACTAGGTTGAGTACGAGTGTGATACTTAAACAATAAACAATTAGTGTAGGTTTCATAATTTGATTAGTGGTGCAGCCTTCTATAGCTGTTCCACAATACACCCTTCATGCTGAGGTTTCATAATTTGGTTGGTTCACAAAGCTCGTAAATTATCCACATATCACAGATGCGAATCATAGTATTCATTCTTATGAAAATGGAAATGAAAAACAAGAGATACTTTTTCTTGAAATATGGACAAATGGAAGTTTTAACTCCTGAAGAAGCACTTCATGAAGCCTCCCGGATCCTGTAATTTGATTGATTTATTTATTCCTTCTTACATACGGAAGAAGAAAACTTACATTTAGAGGACAATCAGCATAAAGGTTACTTTACTCACTTTTACCTTTCATGATAAACTGGTTAAACTATATCTGAGTAACAAATCAACAAAAATAAAATAAAATTGAGGATTGAAAAAAGAACAGAGCAATGAGATCAAATGGATAACCTATTTTGAAATACTAACCATTGAGATATCCTCCCACCATAGAAATCAATGAACTGGAATGCCAGAGACAAACGAGCTTCCTCAGAACTCATCGAGAACAGATATTCACTGACATCTTCAAATAATATTACTCTTAAAAGGTGTTCATCACCTTCTCTATCTGCAGTCCCATCACTATGAAAAACCCCATCTGTTTTGAAATAATACTTCACAAATTAATACTTGAATTAGGGAAAAAAAATTATTAAATGTGTGAACATTTACTTCTGAACAACAATGTAAACATATAGTTGGAATATTTTTACAGTAGACAAAAGGGAAGATGTTATGCATCACACGAGGTTGACAATGGTAATATAATAATATTATAAATAAACAAAATCCAGATTGCAATTTAAGAAAAAGGAAAAACAAAGAAACTAAAAAATAGATGTGCGAAGAAAAAAAAAAGCACCAGATCTTGCATGAACAGGCATCCATTGATCAGAATCTCTTGATAACTCTTCTTCTGCCCATCTTGTCCATGTTGCAGTATCCTTGACCTCCCCATCAGCTTCAGCATCAGCATTAATGCCCAGCATCTTGAGTAATGCCTCAATATCATCAGTCTGTTCAATGTCTCTTGTCTCAGATTCCTCATCAAATTCCTCAACAGCCACATCGTCATCCACTATATTTTCTGTATTTCCACTGGTTTCCTTATTTTTAGATAATGGTTGTGACCAACCTGTCCAACCACCTTCTTCATTTTTATGCAATTCCTCATTAATAACCTTTTGTCTATGTTCCTCCTCTTTCTCCAGCCATGCTGACCAGCCAAGAGCCCCATCTTCCCCAATTCTTGAACCATTACTATTCCAGAAGTGCTCAAACAGTCTTCGTTTATTCTGCTCGGTTAGAAGTAAAGGACAGAACAAACTATATTCAATCTCTGCCTGGAATAAAGCAGTAGCTAATTCTTGGTACCCAGCCTGCCACTCAAACCTGCATAGACTTACAAATATATCAACCAGACCAAGTTCAAGTTGAACAATAGCAGGATCCAGAGAAGATGCAATAGCAGTTTGGCAAACCTGTATCAGAAAAAAAATGAATTTAGAATCAGAATTATAATTAAGATATAGAGGCTTAGCAATAACAAAAATCATTTGTCACTTCTTAAAGAATAATGCCACTTGGCAATTAAGGGGGAGAGAGAGAGAGAGAAACCTTTTTTATTCCTAAGTGGTTTTGTATTTAAAGATGACGACAATAAGGTACAGGATTAAAGCAGAGGCATACCCCCACTATACATCACAATGAGAATGAAATAAGTCCAGTTCCAAAAAAAAAAAAAAAAAGCAAGCTAAATACTAGCAACAGATACAACTTTTTAAATCTCAGACCACCAGTTTCAATGTCGGAAATAACTTAAGGGCTGCACAATAGAAAATAATGCTTCGATACTCATATATTACATAACCTGATTCATATCAAAGACCGGTGGAATCATCAGTGTCTGTTGTAGGAATGCTCCTCGCTAACTTTGCAGATTCAGGCCTTGTGGCCTAGAGGTATCTCCTCTACCTCCCAAAGTGGATGGTGAGGGTTCAAGTCCCCAAAGGGGTAAAGTAGGTGTGTGAGTTTCTTGCCTATGAAAAAAAACTTTGCAGATTCAAATTTTGAATTCAAAATCACTCATCAGCACTAGCAGTGCATCAGTTCTGGCGTCAGTTTCCCCTTTTCAGTTACTTACCAATCTTGCTTATACTTGCATAACAAGCAAAGCAAGTTGTTGCATATGCTTTCTTTACACAATGAAGCTAAATACACATAAAGTGTGCATAGAAACAAGGCATGCATTTTGAGCTTTAAGATACTTTTGTATCACGCAATCATAACTCAGAGTGACCACCATCATTTCCTCTTAATGTTTGGAGAAAAAGGGCAAACTAACTAGCTATACTTCAGTTACTTGAGTCATACACTTGTACAATGGAACATATATTATAGTCCCCCATCCTAACGCAGACCCTAAAAAGGTCATCAAATTCTTTTTCTTCAAAATGAAAGAAATGTACAACTAAGATTTTAAATTCTTAAGGCACCATGAAAAACGCAATAATTCAAAAGAATATATCTTGCTGTCTTATGTAACTGGCGCATTAGTATTTCATACAGAGCCAATGAAATTTATTTCTCACCAAAAAATTAACAAAAGGCACAACGTTTGATAAATCCTCTATGGAATTGAAGTCAATGTAGCATGGAAGGACTCTTAGAAACTAGAGTAAAAGACTTGTACTCTCTGACCAATGCATTTGGTTTCCTTTTTTACATATTTATTTTCCAAGAAAAAGAGTTTACAACAAGATTCTCGTGGAAGTTAGCAGCTCTGACTTGTTCAGTGGGTTAGTAAACATTCAAAGTACCTTTCATATATCATATATGTGTGGATATAGATAACATATAAATCTTACATGGATCCATTGGGTTCTTTTGATTCTTGCTCGAGCCGGATTATGAAAAATTATCATGTCTGGTTCCTTCGGGGGATGGATATATATATGAATTCACCTATCCCAATAACCAAAAACCAAAAAAAAAACCTGACTTGCTATTAAATATTAGTATTTAGACAACATAAATTGCAACATGTGAGGCTGCAGATTTGAGTTTGGGAGTACAGTCACTTGATGTAAAATGATGCCAAGGATTAAGTCCGTCTCCATTTTTTTTCTCCCAATACTCCGTAAAGGCAGGACATATTTTTCACTTTCACTACCTGCTATTACTAGACAACTTGTAATAAGAGAAATCGTGACAAAATGGCATGAGTTATACTCAGATTGTGGAGCTGAGATACTAACAGCTTTTGAGAAATGCATTTATAAGTTCTAGTTCCAAAGGAGTGAGTTACAAAATTATAAATGTATCAAAGGGTATAAATTATAAATGTATCAAAGGGTTTTCTCAAAAATAATGGTCTCACTTATTATTTAGATTAACTTTACTGTTGTCAACTTAATTTTCTTAAATGGAGAGCACGCCCATATACAACTTCAGAAAGACAAAAGACCCTTAAGCTCTCAAACTATCCACAAACTTAACTATATCCTCAATGGATTTACAAGAATACCTTTTAACCCAAAAATATAATATGGTCAAAATAGAATGTTTAAGCACCCAGATAGGTACCTCCTCCTGTTAGAAGGATCTCCTATTTCTCTCCCTCCACAACCCCCGCCATGTTCTGTATTCATATACAATGAAAATGTAGATCTCCTATTTTTATGCAACTCTACCTCATTTATTAAACCTAATCTCCTATTGGTCACTAAAATGTGTTAACATCTCAAACAGTTATAAAAATCATCAAATTGTCACACCAACTAGTAGCCTTCCACAACTATAATTTTTTTTTGATAAGTAATAATTGAATAAAAAGGCGTTCAAAAGGGAAACGCGTCCCTTATACAATTGGAACCGGGATCTAAGCCCCAAAGAATCCAAAAAAATAATTAAATCATCGGAGGAGGAGCAAGAACTCCTCTTCACATAGCTAAAAAGAGAACGAATAATATGAAGTTTCAGCCTCGCCGTGGACGACTCCGTCCCTTTGAACATTCTGCTATTCCTCTCCTTCCACAACTATAATTGTTGTTACAAATACCACAAACCAAGAACAAATCAAGAATCACAAAAGAAAAGTAAACACGCCATACACAAAGATTTACGTGGTTCGGCAAAGCCTATGTTTACGGTGAAAATCCGTTGAATGATTTCACTATGCGAAAAAATCAAGAGATTACAAGTTTCAACCCCCATACCCTAGTGCTCACTCTCTCTCTCTCTTTCCTGCGGTTTTCATTGTTCTCTCGTTATCCCAATCCCAACCCTAAACACCCTTATATACTGAGCAACAAGAGAGTACTAAACAAGGTCCAAGACCGGCAAGAGAAAAATGGGTCAAAAAGCTTTCCATTTTTCAAGACAAAAACAGGTCGCGTTGCCGAAACAAAATTCGGGCCACAACATTACAAATCTCCACCTTGGCTCGAATTCTGCCAAGCTCCACAATAGCAGCTACTCCTTTCAGCTCCTTCGCATGTCCCCAAGGACATTAGCAACTTCAACACCAATCAAATCCAGGCAATGTCATTATAGCCGTCAGATTCTCAGTTGTCCTAATCTTCCTCATTGCAATAGCACCCTATGCAATCACATCTGATAAAGTGCAACATGACATCAATGTGCTTGGACCTTTCATGAAACATCTTATTTTTAGTCAAATGTATGGCACTTTGGCTATCACAAAACACAATCAAAACATCCTGCTTCAAGCCCAAAACAACCACCAAACTTTTAAACGATATAGCTTTCTGCCATGTACTCCACCTCAGTCGTAGTCGCCTTCAAACTGATCACATTAACTCAAAGAGAGAAGACATACCTTTTCAGGGACCTCCTCCTATCAACATCTCCAACATAATCCAAATCAACAAACCCAACAACACTCCCACATGTCGCTGCCTCCGTCGTAAACTAAACCGACATTTGCAGTGCCTCGCAACTACCGCAATATCCATATTTCAGCCTGCCAATGGAGGTATATCCATTTATTTGCTCGCTACACTGGCCTAGTGCACGCCATAGCATACGTGGTGCTACCAACTACACTAATATAAGGAACATGGGACATATGCTCCACCTCCTCCTCAGTTTGTGATGACAATCCTGCCAAAAGTCTAAAGTGAGCTGCCAATGGAGCACTCACAGGCTTTGATGCTCCTTTGTTCCTTTCAATTTCCATACCCAAAATCCTCTTTGTAGAACCAAGATCATTCATTTCAAACTCACCACTAAGTTAAGCCTTTAACATGTTGATTTCTGACACATTCCTGCAAGCTATCAATGTGTCATCAGCACAGAGCAGCAAGTACAAAAACAAACCATATGAGGTCCTCTGATTGGTGCATAATTTGTACATAATTGATCTCCCAAATTATATTTGACTATTTGTTAGTATTTTATTTTAGATTATTTTATTTAATAAAAGTGTTTTTATATCTTTTTAGGTTATTGGTATTTTTGTGAAAATTGTTTTATTTGATTAGCTCATCGTGTGGAGGTCAAGCGTCCAAAAGAATCCAAGGGTCAAGATTATTTGTAGAATTTTAGAAGATTTCTAGAAGAATTTTTCAGCAAGTAAAAGTCTAGGGAATTTACTGAAGTAAGGCAACTTCCATATTGAGTTATTGACTTTGGAAATAAACCTAGAAGGAATGTTCTAAAGCTGTCTGGCCATAACTTTTGACTCGGTTATCGGAATTAGGCAAACTCGGCGGCTCTTAAAAGAAGACTTAAAGACCGTCATTTTTGTATTTCACAGAAATTTCGTGGAAAGCACTCCAGCTAGGTCAAAATTGGGCTGCAAGTCGGCGCAAATATGGAAAGAAGATTTTGACAGATTTTTGTTTCTACAATATACAAAAAAAAATATAGAAGAATCGATTGGTGGCTAATAAACAAAGGTGGGAGGCTTGTGCAACTGCCAAAGAAAACATAGAAGATCTTCCACTTACGATTCCGGGTTTGATTGTTATTGTTTTATTGTTCATGGGGTTCTAATCTCTCAGCCAAGGTTGAGGGAAGCCCTAATCTTGTAATTCTATATTTTTCAATTGTTAAATTTATTGAATGGCTATTTTTAATGTTATTTTTACTTATCAAAAAAAAAAAAAAATTATTGAATGGCTATTTGATGCTATCTTTAATTGCATGTTTCAGCTCAATTAATTTTATGTGCTTAACCATAGAATAAGATTAGTTGTGTTTAAACTTTACCATAAAGGTTGCTTGCGTCTGACCACGAACTAGTTATCTTCGTAGGGCTATTTGAGAAAAAAATAATAAATTATGACAATTTATACCTAACCATGGATGGATAGTTGTAATTTATGTGTTTTCTTTCAATTAATCATTTATGATTCATAACCAAAATAATAAATATTTAATTGAATCTATGCCTAACCAATGATAGACCATCTATGATTTAAACGAAATATCATGTATTGGATGTGTGAAAATTAAG